GGCAGCTTTTTTTTTAAGCTAGCATGAATCGTGGAGATTATTTGAAGTCCCTAGAAATTATTTTATATTATGGTTGAAGGAACCTGAGGCCTACAAGTTAAGAGAATTATGCAGCCACAAGTAATTATCAAAACCAAGGTAACTGGAGTCTCCTTCCCGTGTTTGTGGGTATGTGGTTTAGTTCAGTTTAGTTTTACAGGTCTTTCCTCAAGGGCAGTTCTTGTATCAAATATCAAGGCCACCCAACCTGTGCAAAGAAGTGGAGGAAACAGGAGGAGCAGAAGCTTGTGTCCAGGAGTCCAGGTGGTGCCACTCACTAGAATCTAGAGCCTAGCAGGCGTCCTGTAAGAAGATCAGCCTCGTCCTGTGCTCCTGGGGCCCTCCAGCCCCACACTGCCCCCGAGAGGATTTCAGTCTCAGCATGCTGCCAGCACTCTACCTGAGCCTAGGTTCAGAATATCCTGCTGGTTCTCAGCACCTAGATGACATGACCTACACACTCTGCATTGCTTTGGTTTTCCTCTAGAAAAGATTTCAAAGTTCTCTTTCATGCAGGGAGAAGAGAGGTGGGTGGTGGCAGATTCCTAAGAATGTTCCTGGCTTACTCCCCATTCAGCCCAGCCTGGGACCCCAAAAAAGTCCCCAGAACACAGCTGTTGCCCCTTTATTCTGAAAATTCTCTTCACCTTCAGGAAAGAAAGTTCATTTCTAAAAAGGGACATAAATTTACCAAAACCAAAAGGCAGCTGAAGCCAGAGGCAAGGACAGCCTAAAAAAGAAAATGATAGGCCAATCTTACTTATGATCAAAGATGCAAAACTCCTAAACAAATAGTAGCCAAGCAAATCCATAAGCTTGTACTTTAAAAAAAAAAAAAAATACACCATGACAGAATTGAGTTTATCACAGGAATTCAAAGATGGCCTAAGATTTGAAAATATGATTATATAATTCCCATCAAGAACTTAAAGGGGAGGGCTGGGGTTGTGGCTCAGCGGTAAGCGCTTGCCTAGCACATTCCGAGGCCCTGGGTTCGATCCTCAGTACCACATAAAAATAAATTTAAAAAACTATTGTTTTCAACTAAAAAATAACTATTAAAAAAAAGTTAAAGGAGAAAGTCTTAGGGTCATTTTGTAGATATGCAAAAAGAAGTAAAATTTATAAAATTCACCTATTTATGATTAAAAATTATCAGCCAGGCCCAATGGGTACTGAGGAGGCTAAGGTGGGAGTATGGCTGTGACCCAGAAATTCTACACAGACTGGGAAACATAGCAAGACACCCCCCCCCCCAATCTAAAAAAAAAAATCAAACTACGAATAGAAAAGGACTTCCTGATTTTGATAGCATACAAATATCTATGGTACCATCAATCACCACACACTAATGGTAGAGTCTTCAAAGTAGTGTCTCTAGACACAACTGGGACAAGGATCCCTTCTATCATTGTTCCTTCATCATACTCGATGTCCTAGTCTGCACAGTAAGGAAAACAAAAGAAACAGTAAGCTGGAAGGAGGGAAAAGAGGATATGGCACTGTCATTATTCCCAGACAATATTATTACTTCTATGAAAGGCTCTACAGATGTGTTAGTCAACTTTCTATTGCTGTGACAAAATACCTGACATAAACCACTTATAAGGAGGAAAGGTTTATTTTGGCTCAGTTTCAGAGGTTTCAGTTTGTGGTCACTTGGTCCCATCTCATTGGGCCTGTGGCAAAGAAAAACATCATGGCAGAGAACACCACAGAGTAAAATTGCTCACCTCATGGTGGCCAAGAAGCAGAGAGAGAGCACAGAAGGGGCTAGGAATCCCAATATTCCCTTCACAAGCACACCCCCAATGACCTAACTTCCTTCCACAAGGCCCCACCTCTTAAAGATCCACTCCCTCCCAATAGCACCACAGGATAGTGATTAGGCCCCTAGCACATGGTTTTTTTGGGGACATTTACAATCTAAACCATAACAACAGGTGAGCCCTTAAAAGACAAAAGAATCTAACCAAATTACTAAGTATAGACAAACACACAGAAATCACTTGTAGGAAAAACAGTGTTCCCAAACACAAAAAAGCACAATTTAAAATGAAATTTTTAAAACATTTGTTATTGTAGAAAAAAACCTGAACATTCACAAAGGCAGCTGGACAGCAAAATGAATCCTGAGTTCTCATCTCTTGGCTAACATTGTTCATTCATAACCCCAATGCTTTCCTCTCTTCCATGTTTTTATGAAACAAATTCCAGGATCATATCACTTTACCCATATATTTAAGCATATATCTCTAAAAGACAAAAAAAGACTCTGGACATAGCCATGATACCATTATTACACCTAAAATCCAAACAATTCCTTATTATAGATGAGTAATCAGTTTTCAGAGTTTTATAATTATTTTTGAATTTGTTTACCATTGCTCAATATGGTCTTAAGTATCATTTAAATTATAGATTCCATTCATTTCTCTTTTTTCCTCCTTTTACTTTATTAGGAAACTGTATCATGTGTCCTGTTGGGTTTCCCACAGACTAGATTTCATTGATGGTGCAGCTCTTTTTTTTTTTTTTTTTAAATATTTATTATTTAGTAATCGGCGGGTACAGCATCTTTGTTTGTATGTGGTGCTGAGGATCGAACCTGGGCCGCACGCATGCCAGGCTAGCGCGCCACCGCTTGAGCCACATCCCCAGCCCCGATGGTGCAGCTCTTGATATAATTTATGTGTGTTTCTCTTTCAGGACACATGGTATTTCCTCATCTCCATGATGCCAATGGCTGTAGGTCCATCAATTCATTAGAGTTTGAAAAATAGTGATAATGAAATGCTATCATTCTTTTTTCATGTATTAGTTAAGAAACTCTACAAAAATAAAATTTTCCTCATCTACTATTTAGTTATCCAGTGGTATAGCTTATGTAGGAAGAAAAAATAAATGCTCAATGTTATGCTTTTATGTATCAGTTGTCATAATAATGAGTCAGTTCCCCAGGATCCTCCTACAGTGACCTAGTTTTGTTTTGTGTTTTTTTTTTTTTTTTTTTAGTATCATGTACTTGTGGATTTAAACAGATGAAAATATAATTTTAAATATAAATATATTCTGGCAATAAGTGTATAAAAAGATGTGTGAGACTTTCATGAAGAAATTATATTTCATTAAATTAAGCAAAAGTATACCTAAAAAAGTATAATGTTCTATATAATACTGTGTACGGTGTCCATAGATAGGATGAATCTCCATCATAAAGATAACAATTTCCCTAATCTATAATTTCATGAAATTCTGATTTTTAAAAAATCCCCCACAGTAGCTGAAGTTGTAGCTTAGTGGTAGAGCACTTGCCAAGCACATGTGAGGCACTGGGTTCAATCTTCAGCATCACATGAAAATAAATATATAAAATAAAAGTATTGTGTTCATCTACAACCAAAAATATATTTTTAAAAAATCTCTGACAGAGCAAGATTAGTTGATCCTAAAATTCATATAACAGCCAAAAATAGCTGCTATGATCTGAATGTGTCCTCTCCCCCGCCCCCCCCCGAAACTTCTTATGTTGAAACCTAATCACCAGTGTGATAGTATTTGGAGGTAAATCACATAAATCACATTTAAGATATTGTATATATTTTTTAAAGAAGTTAAAATTTCGGGGGTAGGGTTGTGGGTCAGAAGTAGAGTGCTCTCCTAGCAAGGGTGAGGCATTGAGTTCAATCCTCAGCATCACATAAAAATAAAATAAAGATACTGTGTCCACCTACAAATAAAAAATTTGTAAGTTATTATTCAAAGTTCTGCCTTAATTTGTTCCAATACTTCCTAAATATCAGGTTACTTTACTAAGGGAAAGAAAGCACCCTTCTGTTGTTCACATCAATTCTAATCAAAATGTTGAAATTACACCAATATAGAACCTCTGCTTTTGGGCAATGCAAACGCGCCCTCTGCTGGTTCCATTGCGCCCTGCACCCAAGTTTGAAAATTGCGAAGACCTGTGAATGTCTTCCATGAGTGTTTTTTTCTGAGCCAGCAACTCTAAAGAAACCCTCACAGAATTCCTCTTATTGTGAAGATTCTCTAATCATCTCCTGCTCTCTGTTAATGTTTCAGATTATTGGAAGCAAAATAAATTCCCAGGCACAGCCCTAAGTCAGCATTTCCATTTTTCTCAATCTCATTGTACATTAATAATCTTGCCCCCTCTCCAAAATCTGGAAGTTGTGTGAGAGAGTGAATGCCATCATGAATGCTTAGGGATGAATGAAAGGAACCCAAGCTGCAAAGAAGCCCTGGTAATGGGACATGTGTCTCCTTCCTCATAGAGTAACATTTGTTTTTTAAATTAACTTGCTTTTCAATGTTATAACCACACTGGGGTTTTAGGGAAAAAATTGAAGCATATATACAAACCTCCCCATCTAACATATTATTTCCTTTTCTTGTTTTCTCTTCCAGTCCTTATCCACCCAGACATTATTGAGTTCTAACACACTATTCTATAGTCCATAGTTTTACTTGTCCTATATCAGAAACTCTTTCCATATTGTTTATTTTTTCTTTTTAACAACAATTTTAAGTGTCAAAGTAATTCATCATAAATTACAAGGAAAGTCTCCCTTGTTGAGCTGTAATTTTCATTATTGACAATAACATAATAAATAAGTGGTTCAAAAACTGTTTCTTCTTTTGAATTATTTCCGTAGGATAAATGCGCAGGAGTAAGAGTCCCAATCAAAGACCAGAACATTTTTCTGATTCTTGATACACACTGTTATATTACTTTACCTGAAGATATTTTAATACTAATTTCAATGTCACTTGCCATGTGACAGTACTGGTTCCCACAGTATTTGCTAATTTTCTAAGTGTAACATACGTCATTGCAGACTGTTGACTACTCACACAGATGGACACTTCCCCAGTCTAATCCCCTCCTGGGATAATTACCCGTGTCCTTTGCTGATTGAGGATCTTCTCTCTTTTCACAGACCCAGAGCGAAGGAGTGTGACTGACCCCCGCAGTGCTTCCCTGGCTGAACATATCCAGACCCCTGAGGCAGATTCTATGAAAAACATGTAAGTGCTCAAATTTGTAACAATGTGGACTTCCCTGCTTTTGTTTCTCTTTGTTTTTAATTAATTTTGTTTCTGGGATTTTGGTTTGGGTTTGGTTTGGTTTGGTTTTCTGAGACTCATGAGCATTCTCAACTGACACAACATGCTGACAGCCAGAATGGAAAGAAACAAATTTACATTGTGATGAGTTTCCTACTTAAACCACATACTCTGCTAGTTGGATGAGGAGTGAAGTTTAACAGTATTGGAGGCATCTTCTTCCATTGTCCATATATCTGAGATCTACAGAGATTCTAGAAAGCTTAGTCTATCAGTTCACTTGGTTTCTCCTCTCAGCATTCTCTCATCTTTGGGTAACATTAATAATACTAACACTTATTGATAATTGCTAACGTGTGTTGAGTGCTTCCTGTGTACTCCCTGGGTGCTTACTAGGAGCTCTCTGACAGCAGCTCAGCCAGTCAGGCCCAGACATTTGACCTGAGTCCCCTTTGGACCCAGCAGCTGGTGTAGCCATCTCTGCCTCCACCTGGAACCATAGCCTCATGTGACCTCCCTGAGATTTTTCACTTACCCAGCAGTATAAGGTCAAATCTTTTTGACCTCCAGGAACCAAGGGAGAAGGGCACTTGGGTGACTGAGGCAACTGCAACAGGAATGCCATTTTAAAATTTTTACACCCTTTTTCCACCACATATTTAAATGGTTAGTGCAACAACTCACTATCAAAAAAGATAGAATAATCAGAGAATTTTTGTTAAATCAGGAGAACCAGAAAACACGGAAAAGCCCCACAATGACCATTATAGTCACCATGACTAAATTTCAGATTTAAGATAAAGATTCCTAAACAGGGGAGAAGGGAAAAAAAGAAAGAAAGAAAGAGAGAGAGAGAGAGAGAGAGAGAGAGAGAGAGAGAGAGAGAGAGAGAAAGAAAGAAAGAAAGAAAGAAAGAAAGAAAGAAAGAAAGAAAGAAAGAAAGAAAGAAAGAAAGAAAGAAAAGAGCATGCAATCAGGCTTGTGGTACTCATTTGCAGCCTACCTGTTCCTCTGGGAAAAGAAAGGTTTTCCTAGCACTAAATCCTAAGGAGACTTCTATGGGTTTTTATAGAGTGACACTGAATGATTTAAAGACTCATATATTTACAGGAAATTCCATTTACCTCATTCAACAAACATTTCTCAAGTTTCCACAGTAAGGCCTTTTACAAGCAAAGCACAGTAATCATACTGATTTAGATAAAAAGAGAAAATGCCAGAACCAGGCCTGGCACACAGCAGGCACACAACACTCAATGTTGCAGCAGCTACTGCAATCTATGGCCTGTCCTGCCCACAGGGCACACATCAGTTGTCCTCAGGACACAGTAATTGATAGCAATGACAACAGATAAAACTAACAGCACAGGACCTTTCAGTGGCTGGATTTGATCAAGAATGAAACTCAGAGGGGATAAAGAAATGGATAGTAGTTGCTTGTTCCTAAGATAATCTTTTTTAAAGGTCATTTTTTTTCAGCTAAGCCTTTGATGGAAGAAATTTCAGTTACACCATTTTATGTCATTTAATTAAAGGCATAAATGTGCAAACGCAAAAAGGCAAAGTATTTCTTCCACTAAATCAGATTATTCTGATCTCTCTTTTTTTTTGGGGGGGGGGTTAGGGGGGATTATTAGTGATTGAACTCAGGGGCATTCAACCACTGAGCCACATCCCCAGCCCTATTTTTTTGTATTTTATTTAGAGACAGGGTCTCACTGAGTTGCTTAGCACCTTGCTTTTGCTGTGACTGTCTTTGAACTCACGATCCTCCTGCCTCAGCCTACCGAGCCACTGCGGTTACAGGTGTGCACCACTGCGCCCGGCTCTCATCTCTCTTATCCAGGGATATGCTGAGGAAAAGAAAGCTGACTAAGTATGTCAAACACCCCACACAGTGCCTGCCAGAGAACAAGTGCTCAGTTGATGTCTGTCCACTACTCTCTTCCTTACTGCCAGAATTTTCTTTCATTTGGTCCTGTTGCTTTGCTCATTTAAAAGAGGCAGCAATTATGAGGCACAGCACCTGTACAGAGGACTTCCAGGAAGTAGGCCTGAGTCTCCAGAGAAGACCRGTGCTGTGGATATATCTCTTCTAAGAGAAAGAGAAGGGAAGATTGGACCAAGATTATTCAACCAGGAGGCACCAGCCAGCATCAGCAATGTGAGTGTGAACACCTTGAAGCTTGGTTCAAAAACCCTACCTGGATCCTGCCAAGGCTACCATGTACACTGGTATGAGCTGTTCACTATACAAGGGCACCTGACAAAGGGCGTGGTGGCTGACAGCCAGCTGTCATCACCTCAGTATTAGGGAACATCATCCTGAAGGACAGAACCCATTGCTAATTCCTTCAAAGGTATTGAATGGGCAACCATGTCCCCACACTACCATCCTGTCTTAAGAGGAACCTCCATGTTGAGGCAGCCCATGGGAAAGATGAAGACTGACATGACAGCACCAATCTATTAAAGGTGAAAACTGCTTTCACCTGGATTCAGCTCTGTAGATCATGATTTAGCATCAAAAAAGGAGGCAGGTCATAAAGTGTATTTTCTTCCTCTTTTCTCCTATGAAATTATCCTAGCTGTTTTAAATCAAAGATTCAAACTTCAACTCTCCCCACTGGCTCCAAATTTTCTAAGACTCACTGTTCTGCTGATTCAGAACCCACACAAACCATTTCAAGCCATTATGTCACGTTGTTCAATGTGATCTTCCCTTGATGGTTTTTTTCTTTCCTACATGTATCATAGTCCGTTTCCTTAATTTCTTACCTTTAGGAGAGGGAGTTGATCGACAAGTCCAAGAGAAAGAAAAGAATCAAGACAGATAAAACCAAAGCACCCAAGAAGGGGAATGAAGGAATTGTCCCTGGAGAAGCAAAGGCTATTTTAGGTAAGAGTGTGCCTGTGAGGAACAATCCAGAAGCCTCCTGATAGGGGTAGGAGGTGGTACCTGGAATCAGCATGAATTCTGTAGGGCAAGCTCACTGTCTTGAGTCTCCTTGGCTACCCTGGTTTAAACAGCAGTGCAATCTTACTGCATATCACTATCTTAGTAGACAGGGATAGAGACTTGGGTGGGGTTCTGAAGACCTGAGGTTACCAAGGGAATAAATGGTAATACTAATAATAACAGCACACATTTACTGCATACCTGCTGCATTAGGAGCTCATGAAATCCTCAGAATATCTCTGTGAGTGCTGCTGTGGGTGACTTACATAATATCAAAGAGATAGTAAAGAGGTGGACCTAGGGTTTATCCTTTCCTATTTGACTCCCAATGCACATTGTTACCACTGCTCTGGTACCACTTGACTCCAGGTTGAGTATCCCTAATCTGAAAATCCAAAATCTAAAATGTTCCAAAATCTGGAACTTTTTAAACATTGACAAGATGCCAAAAGTGGAATATTTCCACACCTGACCTCATGTGATGGGTTACGATCATAATGCAGGCACACTAAAATATTGTATAAAATTATCTTCAAGCTGTGTGTATAAGGTGTATATGAAGCATAAATAAATTTTGTGTTTAGACTTGGGTCCCACCTATCTAATTAAGGGATAATATAATGCAACATGATGTAATATGGTATAATRTAAATATAACAAATACATTCCAGAATCAGAAAACATTCAAGTCCAAAACACTTCTGATCCAAGCATTTCTGATAAGGGATGCTCAACCTGTAAGTCATAATCATATTGGGTGGTGAGAGCATTTGGGAATGGGGAAGGATCAATAAGCTCTGAATGATCTTTCCAGAACCATGTTTCTTCTCAGTTCCCTCAGTCACACCTTACAAGGAATCCAGATTCCTATGCTTCTGAAGACATCCTTTAGCTTAACACTTAACACCCACCCTTTACCTCCCACATGATTCAGAAGACCCTCCAAACAAAACCAGTGCTGTTGGAAAGGACAGGACTGGAGACACTCTTGGGCCAGATCTATTTTTGATGTTTATCTTTATAAACTCCTGCTGAATTTACACTGTGTAGTCCATAGCATTGACAGGATTAGGAAACAGAAACTCTTCATGGCTCCCAGAGGTGAACTAAGTCCTGAGGGTATTCAACTTCACCAGGTTATAGAGGGGCAACCTCAAGTCAGATTCTCTGGGTAGGACTTTCCAACTGTGTTTCAGGTCTCCCCACAAAGTCTTGACACCCCTATAGGTCAGGGTAAAATGGAGTTTTTAAAATAGCAACACTGCTGTTTTAGTCAGTTTTTGCACTGTTGTGACTAATAATAAAAAAGACCTGACAAAAGCAATTTTAGAGAAGAAAAAATTTATTTTGGTGCTCACAATCAGAGATCTCAGTCCATAGCCAGCTGACTCCGTTGCTCTGGGCCCAAGGTGAGGCAAAACACCATGGCAGAAGGATGTGGAGGAGGAAAGCAGCTCAGGACAGGCCACCAGGAAGCAGAGAGAGACAGCTCCCCACTCCATGGCCAAAATATAAACCCCAAGGGCACATCCCCATCAACCCACCTCCTCCAGCCACATTTACCTGCCTACAATTACTACCCAGTTAATCTCTATCAGGAGATCAATGCACTGATTAGGTTAATACTCTCATAAACCAATCATTCCACTTCTAAGTTGTCTTACATGAGTTTTTCGGAGACACTAACATCTAAACCATAACAACTGCTGAATGACAATTGATCTAAATAGGATAAAGCAGTTTCTCAACAGGTAGTCTGAAAACCAGTCAAAACAGTACAGGTGGTTATCAAATGCAGATTCCTACTGACCCACCTAGGGCTCAAGAGTCTTTACCCCAGATGATTCCATTGCATGCTAAAGTTTAAAAGGTACTTAAAAGGTTGTGCAGAGACACATTTCCTTAATTCAGTTATACCTCTGTCCCCAATTATTCTCCCCCCAGGCAAGTCAAAGGACTCAATGTCTGAAAAGAAATCAGAGCTAATTCCCAAAGAAAAAAAAGCAGGAGCCAAAAGGAAAAGGCCACAGAAGGAAAGGAATGTGGAGATGGCAGCAGAGCTGAGTGGGCCTGATGACATGCCAGATAGAGGTTTCTTCCCTTCACACTCCGATGTGGAGGATCCTTGGCTTTCTCCCAGACATAATGCTCAGGAGAGCCAAGTTTCTATAGATGGAAGATCATCACAAACCCAGACCATGGCTGTCACTGGAAATGTGGAATCAAAAGAAGAGAGAAGCTGTGAAGACCCTTCAGAGGTAGAGTCTTGGCCAAGGGAATTCTGTCTTCACTTGACACAACTGTGGACACAGGGAAAACTGCCTGAATGAAACTATAATCCCTGGAACAGCTCTACTCTTCTTTGGTCTGCTTCGGTGCCTTCTGACCCTAGTTAGAAGCCAGAGCTGATCAGAGTCACGGAAGGGTGATATCCCTCTGAAGTAAGGCATTCTATGAGGCCCAAAATTGTTAAAGCTTCCTATTAACCCCTTAAAGAGCAGAAGGTGGGCACAGCACCCACCCATTAGAGGTGCACATCTCCTCAGAGCAGAGAAAGGTAGATGCAGGCCTTTAGAGCCAAGCGCAAATCCTGGACTTGGCCTGGAGCTCATCCATTACCTGTCTCCCAAGTCCATGGAAATACCTTCTTTCAGAATCTGCTTATCTGTGGTACACAACAGCTTGTATACACAAAACTGCTTCTACAAGGTGCTTTTCACAGAAGAGGTGTTTTGATCCAAAGGCTTAGATTCTCCTTTGGAAGTTTAAAGATAAAAACTGAGTGTGAGGAAAATTACTCTTAAAATTCTCTGTAGTTCACCAAAAAGAATGCCACATATATAGATACATCATTTCTCAGTAAAAACAACACAGCCCATTTTCTCTTTGCTATTGAAACATATCACTCTCTCTTCCACTGAGATGCAGGCACTGAACTACCTTAAGACATCTTGTAAAACAAACAAACAAAAAGTATCTTTAAACACTACAAATGCACACATAGCAAAGTATGTGGTTAGCTTACTTAAGTTTTATGTGCTTATAGTAAATAATGTTGTCTCCTTTAACCTTTATCATACTTGTGAACCACATGTGATTAACCTCAGTTTATGGACCTRTGAGTTAAATGCCAGGGGACCAGAAATTGTACTATTGAATGGTTAAGCCAAGATTTAAACTCAGATCATTTAAATCCAAATTCAGGACTCTTATCACTATTTTAAATGATTGTCTATTTTATGGTACCATGTCTTCCAAATAAGATCTTAGACAATTTTTCCTGTGTAATTCTCAAACCCTCTCAGCAGCTTAGATAACAGAATTCTGCTCTGCACAACAGATGAAAATATTAATCTATGGGCAGAACTTTTCTGAGCCAGCTGGATCATCAGAATTTCTTAGATTTATTATAAATCCATAATACTGGCCTACCTCTGCAAAGATAAAAAGCAAGGAGCTTTCACTTTGGGTTGGACACAGAAATCTCATGAAGAAATAGCCTCTAAAGTTCCTCTTACAGGCATACTTCTGAGTCAGAAGGCATTAGGGAGAAAAAGAAAACTACAACAATTGTCATGCAAACTGAAACACCTTTTGTTGAGAAGGTGGATTTCTACTGATTAAATATGAGTCTGACCTCTCCATATCTACAATTGCCCATGGTACAATATCCCTACCTAGACCCTGTGGATTCCTGCCAAAGCTTCAAGTTAAAAATTTTTGTTTTGTTTTGTTTTAAACCTAAGGAAACCCTCTACCTACAGATTTTTATTTAATTGGTCTTGGTGGAGCTCTGGCCTCCAGCCATTTTCAAAAGCTCCTTGGACAATTCTTTTTTTCTTTTTTAATGTTTAATTTTTAGTTTTTTAGGTGAACACAATATCTTTATTTTATTTTTATGTGGTGCTGAGGATCGAACCCAGTGCCTCACGCATGCCAAGCAAGCACACTACCACTTGAGCCACATCCCAAGCCCCTCCTTGGACAATTATAAAGTGCACCTAGGATTGAGAACTCTTGAACCTATGATATATTGGGCATTATATTGATTATTTCAGTGAATCCTGGTAACAGCCCCATGAGGAACACAATATCAGAAGAATTAAATTGTGACCTCCAAATCCCAAAGTAAGTGAGGAAGAGACTTGAATTAAGTCAACTGGACCCCAGTGCTCAAGCTGGTGGTGGCAGGGCAGATATGGCTGTGGTCAGAGTGTGGAGTCCGCTTCATGACTCTATCTCTCATTAGACAACACTGGCTGGGCTGCAGCCCCATCTGTTCCTTGACTGAGAACACTCTTGTCTCTTAGGCCCTCACTAAGAGGGAGCAGCAGAAGGCTTCCCAGGACAGGCTRCGAGCAGAGAGGGCTGAGATGAGGCGATTGGAGGTGGAGAGGAAGAGAAGGGAGCAGGAACAGCAGAGCCGGCTCCAGCAGGAGGAGCTGGAGAGAGCAGAGAAGATGAAGGAGGAGCTGGAGCTGGAACTGCAGAGCCGCAGAGAGGAGAACCGGTAGGTCAGCAGCCAAGAGATATGGCTGTGTTAGAAAGTAGTTGGGAAAGGCATGGGTGGACCACCTCGATGGGCAAGGTTCAGTGCTGAGGCTCTTGACATGAGGCAAAACCATGTCTCATTTTGCTCTCTCCTCAGTTTTCCTTAGGAGCAACCTGGTTCAGGTTACTCAAGATAGATGTTCATGTACTCTTCTTGGAAGGCTTTGAGATTCAGTCCCACCAATATTCATTGAATTTTTACCACCTTGTCTGCATTGCACTAGGCCCTTTCATGGGCCTTAACTCTAATTTTAGCTTCACAATATTCGTGTGAGGCAGGAAACTCAAAATCTATTTTATAAGAATGGAAAATGAAGCTCTGAGAACTGAAGATCTCTAACCCAGAGTGCTGAGCTGTGTACTAAAACTTCTAGGCTTCTCCTTCTAGGACCCTTATGTTCTTACCTCTATCCTTCAATCCGGGCCTCCCTTGGAAAGCTAAGTCATCTCCTCCTTGGAAAGGGATGCTCCCTAGACACTGTAGGCTGCAAAGTCTCCCCAGGGGTACTGCCTGTTGGATTATCTCACAAGGACGCCCCAGTGTTTCCTGCCATTTTACTGACCATCTTGTGTTTTCTCAGCTTGAGGCGGCAGAGACTGGAAGAAGAACGGCAGCGGCAGGAAGAGGTGGAGAGAAAGCAGCGGCTCCAGTTGCAAGCAGCACAGGAGAGAGCCAGGCAGCAGCAAGAGGAATTCCGGAGGAAACTGCAAGAACTACAGAGAAAAAAGCAGCAAGAGGAAGCTGAGAGAGCTGGTGAGGAGGATTCTTGAGCTCTTTCCTTGCCCATCTATTTGGGGCAGAAATATTTTTATCCCTCCTGTGGGTGTTCATTTATTTCTATCCTAGGTTTTCGTGCATGAATACTCTAAATGTATGAGCTATTTTTTTTCAAAGTGATTATTATGTGTGACTACAGTGAAGTGATAATGGATGGTCAGAATATGAAAAAGACTGACTTGTGCAAATGACTCCAGGGTCCTGCTCCCAACTCAATAATCTGAACTGGGACTCTGTCCCTTCTTTTGTTCTTTCAACATTGTTTAAGAATTACATAAATTAGAGACACAACCCTCTTCCTTGCTTCCTTCCCTAGCAAATACCCAAGTACCTGGGTAGCTTCAGGGCATGCTTTCAGGTGTTGCACAGAATCTCTCCAGCTTCACTTTCAAGAGGTAGTAACTTCAGCAGATGAAGCCAKGGCCACCTCCTGGTCCTGGCTCTTTAAATGGGCCAGTTCAGCTACATAAGCACCAAGTTTCTCTAGACCCTGATCTGGTACCACACTCCATCCCAACCCTGCTCCATACCACCCCATGAGCTATCCAGGCTCTGGAAGAATCTTCCACACAGACTTTTATTAGTCGTCAATGCACTCTACATAGAAGGTGCTTGATAAAGGACTCAAATTGATAAACTAACTCCCAAGGTAATCCCCACAGAAGATGTGACAGCCTCATAGGCTTCAAAATTTCTCATACTGAGTCCTTAGAAATCAGATTTGAGAGTTGAATCAAAATATGGTTTTCCCCAACAGTGCCCCCTTGCTGAGCCCATGCCCCTTATGTATTCTGCAGAGGCAGAGAAGCAAAGGCAGAAGGAACTGGAAATGCAGTTAGCAGAAGAACAAAAACGCCTGAGGGAAATGGCTGAAGAGGAACGACTGGAGTACCAGAGGCAGAAACAGGAAGCAGAAGAGAAGGCTCGGGCAGAGGCTGAGGAGAGAAGGCAGAAGGAAGAGGAAGCAGCTAAGCTGGCTTTGGAGGAAGCCATGAAACAAGATCAGGAACAAGCCAGGTACTGGTATTTGGGCAATGATTGAGTAGGAGGATTGTTCAAAGGCTTAACTGCCTGGTGCTAGTGTTAGTACTGCAATTGAACAAAGTCCTTTCCCGACCCCTCAACCCCAGCCAGCATGGTTTGGAAAACWAAAACACAAAGAGTGATTCTTTGGCTGGAAACATCATAGGGTTCCTTCATAGCTTACAAAACTTATAATGAAGCTAAAATGGGAGTTTAGAGACCATTAATCTCAATCTACACATGAGCAAGTCAAATCCAAAGGCTGAGAGTATGTAGTTCAGTGGCACTACAGAGCACTTGCCTAACATGCATTGACCCTGGTTGGATCCCCACCACTAAAAGAGAAGGAAAGTATGTCCCAAAGAAGGGAAAGGTCTTGATCAGGGCCGACCAATGAGTTAAAGGCAGTGTCAGGATAAGATCTAAAACCAACCCGCTGGTTATGAATCCACTGCCTTCCTCAATATTTATTGAGATTATTATGCAACTTCTGGACTCCGGAATTCATAAATAAGCAAGGCAGACAAGGTATCTTCTTCCATGGCATACGTCGGGGTGGCAAAACAGACTAAAAAAAAAAAAAGGAAAAAAAAACCTTTATTTATTTAAAGCTAGTAACAAATGCCACTCAGAAAACATTTAAAACATGTGATAGGATTACAGGAGACTTATTTCAGACTGTTTGGCCAGAGTAAGATATAAAGTGAGATCTGCATGACAAGGAGTTAATCACATAACATCTAGGAGGAAAATATTTCAGCAGGTAAACAGTAAGTGCAAAGGTCTGAACAAAGAAATGAGAATAAGGTATTGAAGAATAAGGCTATAATTATAAGTTAATAGGGGGCAAAGAACACTACCAAATGAAGTCAGAGAGGAAAGGCCAAGATCAAATCTAAAGGGGGCCTTATTAGAAGAAATAGCACCAACCTCCTTAAGAGCCAAGGATATTTTCCCCCTTTATTCTGCAACAGTGATCAATCCATCTTTCTGATAATAGGATTTGAGTAATGTGGTTTCAATACTCTTTTAAAAGTAGGTCCTCTGTAGTTGCTACACTATAACTGTCCCTTTCTTAGTGAAAGCAACTAATAGTCATTCCTTTTGAGAATTATAAAAACCCAGGGGTAAAAATCAATCAATCTATCTTAAAGATAAAGAAGCACAATCCAGAAAATCATTTGATTCCAAACTAAACCTTGTAAACACTTCTCCCCCTGAAATGCATTTTCACAACTTAAGCTGACTCTAAGACAATAAATACTCTTTAGAGGACCAAAAGAGAAGGCAGCCAGAACAACTCTTGTTTTAAGAATTTCCACTAACCTTCAGTTGTTCCTCTCCTGGACTTTCTTCAGCTATTATGTGAAATCTACAAAATGGATCATTAGCAAAGCCCTGATTCAGCTTCAGAAATATGGATTCTGTGTATCATAACAGCAGGGTTGGGTTCATAGCAGCAGTACTGAGACCAAAAGCAAGCTACTGAAGCTCCAACTTTCCAAGAAAAGAAAACTGACAATTATTGGAGGGGAAGTTGAAAATTTCACAAGTCAGCTTGTCCAAGTAGCTCATAAGAAACCAAGTAAAAACGGGCTGGGGGTGTGGCTCAAGCGGTAGCGCGCTCGCCTGGCAKGCGTGCGGCCCGGGTTCGATCCTCAGCACCACATACCAACAAAGATGTTGTGTACGCCGAGAACTAAAAAATAAATAAAAAAAAAAAAAAGTAAAACTAATTAAAAAAAAAAAAAAAAGAAACCAAGTAAAGGACCAGACCAAGGTGTGGAGGCTTACTTCATCAAGGATTACAACTTAATGCCAGCTGACTTTATTTCACCTTTTACCAACTTATAAGGACAATTTCTAGGGTGATCAATCATTATTGAAATTGGGGTTGGGGTTGTCTCCTTAGGCAAAAAGCTGCTTTGGAAAAACATCTTCATTTCCATCGAGAACTCCAGAAGGAAGCCAGAGGCCTGCTGTGGACACAGAACATTTCCAGACCATGGGTTTACTCTTATTTCCAGTTCCTAGAAATACCCAGGCCATAAGGATAAAAGAAAGCTTTAAAAAAGTAAGTTGAGACGCAGTGATGGAAAAAAGAGAAACTTCCTTTCATAATAAAGTTCCGCCCTCAGCCCAATTAGTTCCATTTCTCCTGGTGAACCTCAATCCACACCTAAGGACTTCTCTACTCCAAAACAACCATTCCCACCCTACCTCTGCACCAGATACCTCATTCAACCCAATAAATCCTTTGCCTACTTAACACTTTATGTTCTCTAGATCCAACTAAATCCAAAACCTTTGATGCCTGAAACTGCCCATAATTCCATAACCTTGTGTAGTCTTAGGATATTCAATGTATTTCATTTCAGTCAATGTATTTTAGTAGAGTTGTAGGTTAATAGAGAATCTGTAATGAAAATAATTCTGAATTAGCCAAGAGGAGCTAGTTCATTTATTTATATATTAAGAAATCCCAACATAAGGCAAAACCATGATCTTTTAATCCCAAGAATCCAAAATTAACTGTCTGTTCAGAACAAAGTATRTTTGTCATCACTTGTTAAATGTTCATTTAAACAAGATGAGCTATTTGTGAATCAATTCTCACATGCCACTTTTTGAGTACCCAATGGCCACAAACTACCGTAGCTAACAGCTAAGAGGTAGAACACTTCCAACATAACAAAAAGTTTTGTTATTTTGATCCCTGAAAATTAACAAATCTTGAGATTTTGTTTCTGTGCGTGGACAAATCAACCACTCACAAAATTTTAATAATCACACAGACTCCAAAAGGAAGTTTTGAGGAGATAATGTATCTTTAATATTTTTTCTTTTCCCACTCTACAGTACTAGGGATTGAGCCCCAATCATTTATAATTTTTGAGACAGGGTCTTGCCAAGTTGCTGAAGCTGGCTTCGACTTTGCAATCCTACTGCTTCAGTCTCCCACATTGCTAGGATTATAGGCATGTACCATCACATCAGATAACATCTTTTTATATATAATAGAACATCCCTTTTAAAAAAAAAGGGGGATCTATCACAGAATCATCATTAAAAGTTATGAAAGAGCTTTAGAAACAAGATGTATAAAAGGATGTTCAATCAACCAGAATCTAAACCTGCATTTTCTCAGGAATTTCCTTTGACCCTACTCTATACTTCACTGTCCACAAGTGAAAAACTTAATATTCACAAGTTATTCCCTCTGATTTCTGATTAATGCTCAGGTATTTGCTTTCTACATGCATTACACCTCTACAACCCAGAAGTTGAGTTAATTTGGATTCTATATTGCTAAATTATGTACTTGCTTAGATCTGATGTGTACTTCAACTCCTTGTTTTATAGAAATCAGCCAAAATACTAAATAATATCACAGTGAATTTGAACATGTCATTTAAATTTTTTCTCGGGCTGGGGTTGTGGCTCAGTGGTAGAGTGCTCGCCTAGCATGCATGAGGCACTGGGTTCGATCCTTAGCACCACATAAAAACAAAATAATGTGTCCACCTAGAACTAAAAAAAATATAATTTTTTTCTCAAGCTTGTTGACCCTATGTGCACAATCACTTCACTCAATATTAAGTACTCAATCAGGTAAGAGTATCTCAAACAATTCAACCAAAAACATAAGAATTAACACTCAAGGAAAACACCTTTGTGGGGAAAATTATCATTACTGACTTTATTTTCTCCTTTCTTTTACATGTAGGATGTTACAGCCAAGCACCAGCTAATGTGGCTACACTAAATGTGATTTAAAGTCCCTTTCAAATATATTCTTATTAGATTTTTACTGTGAAGCACCTATTTTATCAGCACTACTTCAACAGATAAGCACATTTTTAAGTTGAACAGCAGAGTGCAGTGCACTTAGAAGAATCCAATAAACTAAAAACAAAATTATTTTTAAAGTAAGTTCTACTATCTAAACGTTGAGAGCCTTGAGATGTTTAGAAATGCAAACAAAATTAAAATATAAGATTAGGGCTGGGGCTGGGGCTCAGCGGTAGAGCTCTTGCCTCACATGTGTGAGGCCCTGGGTTTGATCCTCAGCACCACATCAAAATAAATAAAAATAAAGGCATTGTGTCCATCTACAACTACAAAAAAAAGTTTTTTTTGTTTTATATAAGATTAAATGCTCATGTATTTTGGATGGCTCTAATAGCCAATCAGACCTGTTATTCAATCTGGACAGAAACAACTCATGAAGATTCTCTAAAAATGGGCCTAATTCCAGTCACTAATGAATATAATGATAAAGGCCAGGAAGATCTAAATTACATACAAATAACTTTTCAGTTAGGGTCAAATATTAAGCATTTTTAATATCAAGTCAATCTATTTTTCAGCTAGTGACTTGAATAGAGTATATAAGCTATGATTGTTTATAAAAGATTGGCTTTATTTGCTCTTTTTAAGTAGTCAGTTGACACTAGGATAACATGAAACTGGATTATATGTATGCACAGATACACTGAATTGTGTATTCATGAGTTAAAAAAAAGAAGTTAGGCACTCTGAAATGAACAAACTAATATGGTATTTTAATCTTACACACAGTTTTATAGATTTAATATATAAAGAAATAAAAGGAAAATATAAACAAAATATACCAAACCTTAACTAAGCAGAGTTAAAGGGAACACTAAAATTATCAATATAAATCAATTTCAGAACTTTTGGCGTGCCCACTTGTTCAACATGATTGGGTAACTATTATATATATGCACCATACAGGAATATCAAATTTTTAAAAAACAAATCACTGAGTTTTTAAAGAGATATTTTAGCCTTAATTAAATCTTTGATTCAGAAGGCACTTCAATAACTTCCAGTGCTTCAAAGTCATTAACATCATCACTATACAGTACTGAAGAAATATTTGTATGATGTGCAAATAATTTCCAGTATTATGCAAGAAAACCTTATTTTAGGCATTTTCTTTTTTCTTTCCTATACAATTAAAATAAAATAAACATTAGTAAGGTTTTTACAAATATTGTTTATTTTAATGAAGCTGGTACAGACAATGTCCATTTAAAACCCATATCCCAGGCCAAAAGTACAAATAAAATCAAAGGAGCAGTGTTCTGTTGTACACACTTCTGCATGAATAACTTTATTAACTGCTAATGAAAATTAGAACTTTTCCGGGATCTTCTGACAAGATTTTTTTTTTTTTAAATCTTAAAATGCTTTCTCTTCAGTGAAGCCATCTTTGGAGTTAGTCGTTACTCTCACCATGTCTGTTCGTCTTGACTCCAAAGCTGATATTCCTCCTCTTTTGGTCCAGACCCTCAGATTTTAAAAGTAGCATCAGGTTAAGGAAAGGTCATTTTCCCACAGTTCAGTTCTCTGAAAAACTTCCATCTCCCACTGAAAGTCACAGTCCAGGAGTGAAGCAGTCACATGCTAGAACTTCAGGGCCAACTGGAAAGTCATTATATAGACACTCACATTGGTCGATCTTATTTACCACCAAAAGCCTGAAAATGCACAGTCCTGAAAAAGGTGGCCTCTCTGTATACACGTGTAATTTTTTAAAAGGAGAGGGCAATATTAAGGGAGCTGAGGTTTGATCACCAAAAAATCAGCACAAYGAAAACAAACAATAATGAATAATGAGCACTAGAATTCAAATTACCAGATGTTTTAAAGAGATGGGTGCCAGTTCTCAATTCCATTTGAACACCACATTACAAAAGAACTATTTTTAAAAATAAAAAAGGATTGAGGGAAAAGAAAAAAAATAAAAGAATATCTAAACCGTTGAATGACCCCCTGTTTGTTCCTGATAAACTTCAATCACATCTTCTTCCTCCATTCCCAGCTGTAAAAAGAAAAATGTTAGTAGAATATTAAAGCACTATTTTTAAACTGGCTACAATTATGAGGCCACTATTTTAAAGTGCAAAAAGATACAAAAATGATCTATACTTAATTATACTCTAAGATTAAGAATCCTGTTTCCTGGGTCTGCAATTGTGGCTCAATCACAGAGCGCTCACCTACCACATATGAGGCACTGGACCACATTAAAAAATAAAGGTACTAAAAAAGATAAAGGCTGCAGGTGTGGCTCAGTGGTTAAATGTCCCTGAGTTCAATCCCTGGTACCGAAAAATTTTTAAAATTAAAAAATTTTCAAAAAAAAATCCTGTTTCCTTAATCTAAAGAACATAGAGGTATACCTTTGCTTCTGGTTCTATGTCTATATAGTCATTCATTTTGCTCTGAGTCAATTTTACTTCCTAGTTTATTCACTATATAAAACTCAAGTGGGGCTGGGGCTCAGCAGTAGAGCGCTTGCCTAGCACTTGTAAGGCCCTGGGTTCAATCCTCAGCACCACATAAAAATAAATAAATATTGTGTCCAACTACAACTAAAAAATAAATATTAAAAACAAAAAAAACCTCAAGTGTTATTAACAGGTTAAAGAAACTTTAAATCTAACAAAACATGTACTTAATAGTTAGATAAAGTTTGATGGCTTATTTTCTAAAAAGCATTTCACTTTTAGCTGTAATTACTGTAGAATTTCACTTCTTCCAAAAACTTGATTTCACTTTGTAATCCCAGCAACTCAGAAGGCTAAGACAGGAGTACTGTAAGTTTGACAACAGCCTTAGCAACTGAGTAAGACTATGCCTTAATATAAAAAGGGCTGGGAATGCAACTCAGTGGTAAAGCACCTCTGGGTTCAATCCTCGGTCCAAAAGAAAACTTAAAAAAAAATATATATATATATGGTTTTAGTTAGAAAAATACTGCCTAAGGATTATTTCAAAGTGGTTTGCCTTGTCACCTACAGTTCCTTCAAGCATATAGCTATTATTTTTTTCAATAGTGATCACTCTCAATGCAGTAAGCTTACCTAGACATCTAACTCTTATTTAATATTTCCAATTTTACAAGCAAGATTTTTCAGCCCATTCCTTTTTAATTCTTGCAGGGAAAAAGAGGATCTTCAAAATGCCTTTATAAGCCAAGGATACACACCTAGAATCCCAGCAACTCAGAAGCTGAGACAGGAGGATCATAAATTTAAGGCCAGCCATCAACTTAGCAAGACCCTCTCTCAAAATGAAAATGGGGAAGGGGAGGTGGGGATTA